CAAGCGTTTCAACTTCTCCAGGATGGAAATGTCACATTTTACCTGTTTACAAAGTTTCATGGTGGTTCTTGCTGTATTTGATAGTCACACATTGTGTTGTGGCATTTGGTTACAAAACAAAGTTGCCTTCTATAAGGAAAGCCTCCACCAAAACGGGACCTTGACACTGTCAGGAGAATGACTGATGTCCATTTGATCAGGTTCCCCTGGAGATGGGCACCAACTGCTCTTTGAATGGTCACAGGTGAATCTTGAGGCAGTGTAATAGTCAAACATTGTTGCTTTCACCCTTATTCTGCACCCACAATGGATAAAGCCAGAAGAAAAATGTTTTTGAACACAATTAAAATATAATGATCTATATCATATAAATGATGCATATAAGATTAATCCCACAAACTCTTTGAGGTTTACAGAGAACGGTCTGAAACATAGAAAATGTCCAGTGAGCTGCAGTTCGCTTGATGAAAATGCCAAAGTTCAGAAGAGAATGGCCAGAGTGCTTTGAGCGAGTAGAAAGGCAACAGTAACTCAAATAACCGCTTGTTATAACCAAGATATGCATAAGAGCATTTCTGAACGCACAACACATTGAAGTTTGAAGCAGATGGGCTACAGCAGCAGAAGACCACACCATGTGCGACCCCTGTGACCTAAGAACAGGAATCTGAGTTCTCACCGGCTCACCAGAAGTTGGAAACTAGGAGTTTGGAAAGATGTTTCCTGGTCTGACGAGTCTCGATTTCTGCTGCAACATTCAGATGTCGGGGTCGTAACGTGATAAGTCCTCAGAATCCACAGTGTTCAGAAAACCTTGGAAAATACTGATACTGAATGTGATTGCAATTTCATATTGGCACTGATGGGCTGCCCCAAACACACCTATGTGGTGACTACTGAAGACTTACCATTACCTATTGACTGCTATTGACTGTGATGAGCATCAGTTCATAATTATTAATAGGTGGATTTAATGCTAGTTTAGTCCTTTTAAGTGTTATATAGGAAGCATTTCCTATAAACAAAACTCAGGTCGGTCAAAATGAAAACCTACGTGACAGTTTTATAAACTGCCATAGATTTTTAAATGGTTATATAGTATGATTCATTTTGCATTCACTCAATCAAAATTAATTTCCTATCTTTGCGGGAATATACTTTTGGGAATACAGTATAGCATATGTACACACAGCCTGAATCAAAACGCCTGGCTTAACAGGGAAAGTTGATACTTATCTACAGCCAAGGTTTTAATTTAATTTTCCCTCTGGTTTTTTTTAATTTTAAAAAATTAAAAATGGAAAAGGAACCTTGAAACTAGTACGATTCGTCAGTCTCTGCTGAGCATTTAAAACTTGTGTTCTCCTCTGACCTCCACCATTAACATCCAGTTTTGCCCCTGAGATCTTTATTCAGTAACTCTACGCTCTAATCTGCAGACACTCACATTTTTTGTGTTTTCACTCTGTGGTAAAGCACACAAAGCATCAGCAGATGGCGCTGTGTTGTTGCCAGCCTGTTTGATGGCTCTGTCTGATGTGTTGCAGATGTAAATGAGTGTTCCAAAGACCCTGTTCCATGCAAAGAAGATCAGTACTGCCTCAACACAGACGGTTCCTACTCTTGCAAGGGTAAGAGGTCATATGCCAAACAGTAGCTTTTGGAGCAGTATGGAAATTTGCTTCCAGCGAACTTATCGCTGTTAGATGTTTCATATTACAATGTCTGATTGTTATCCTTTTACTGACAGTTTTGTGAGACCTATCTAACTTTATTCGGTATGTTTGTTCCTCAAAGCCTGTGATAAAGTGTGCTCCGGCTGCACTGGAGCCGGTCCCGATAACTGCCAGGCTTGTGCCAGCGGGTACCAAGACACAGAGGGAACCTGCACAGGTATTATTCACTATTTGAAAGATTTCTGACACTACGTTAAAGTGTCGGTCTCCACTTTGAGTTTAATACAAATGAAGCCAAAAGAAGCAGTCCTTGGAAGGAAATTCTTAGTGCTTCCATGCTGGCGACCTGTCCAGGGTGGACCCTGCCTCTCGCCCTATGACATGTCATTAATGTGCATACTCTAAGCATGAGTCTCTCATCACAGTTGGATGCAGGCTTAACTTTAGATCACTTTATATTTGCATATTTACATCTTCCCTTTATGTGTCTTTAATTGTTGTAATAAGAAAGGATATTGTGAGCTCCAGACTGCTGTGGATGGACAGAACCTCTTAATTCTACCCTTGGAAAGTCTGCTTTAGTTCCCCTTAACTGATGTCACATTTGTAAGGATAATGCATTTTTGGGTTGCACCCATGAAAAACTTCTCTATACTTTTTATCTATATATTAGATTTTTTTAATCTCATTATTTAAATCATCCAGATGTGGATGAGTGTTCGCAGTCAGAGCCAGTGTGCACAAAAGAGCACCAGGAGTGTGTCAACAATCAAGGCAGCTACACGTGCATCTGCTCTGAAGGCTACGAGGAGCGAGATGGGGAGTGTGTGCAAACACAACAGCCAGGTGAGGATGAGTGTTGGCATGAGGTAGCACAATGCCCATTCTAACAAGTTTCAGTAGTAATTTAGGATGTGAGGATGTTATTTAAGCAACATGTTTACTTTGTGTGCTTCACTGACTGCAGTGTGATTAATTCTATAAGTTTTCCTATGTTAGATACAGCCGAGGAGTCGGAAGCATCTGAGGCAACCGCGAGTCCACACGGAGAGCTTTGATGTCACAAAAGGGGACCGGGAAGAACAAACTGTTGACATTGCTGCACATTCGAAGCCTCTCCTTCATAAAACTGTCAACCACATGCACTTAACGAAACGACGAGAGCCGAGAGGACGTCGATTTCCAGCGGAGGATGATGAACAGAGGAAAAAAAAAAAAACACAGACCTTTTACGCTCTCGCCATGCTGGGTGTTGCTTTTCTCCAGTGTGCTCAGACTCGTTGTCTTTGTCTTATATGGTTTTAAAAAGCAACGATGTTTCAATAAAGATTCATTATGTGAAGTTTATCAAAAACTGACCGACGTCATCGGAATGTGGATGCTTTCAGCTTTGGGAAGTTTTTGTGTATGTTGCAGCAATCATGCATTACCACAGGATGGCAGTATAGTCTTATGAAATAAAGACGCTCCAGCTTGAAACCATCTGGACAGGACTAGACGGTGCTTCTCTTGCCCTGATCTCTCATAAATATTTTGAAGCTAGGCCACATTACAGCTGCGTATTGTCCATTATATTCAATATCAACATCATTCTTATTTCCACCAACATTAACCCCCACTTATACCACACGGCCTGATTCTACATGACGTCTGCTTGGTCTTGCAAACCCGAACCATCACTTACCCTTGATTGGCATGCTTTTTGGAAAGGCCCTTCCTCTGGCCCTGTGTGGATCAAAACACATTTTTCTAACCTAAGTCTCACCTTGCGGTAAATCTTCCCAGCTTCCTCTGTGATGATGTCAGCTGTTTTGACTGCAAGGCCCTCGAAGACATAAGAAAGGGCAAGTAAAGGCCTGTCTAATCTAGCAGAGAGGCAGCAGAGAGCCCACCTCTCTGCCTACTGTTAACTCCACCATATGGAAAGGGGTTTTCTGGAGGCATAGGAATATGGGGTTCGCCATATATATATATATATATATATGTGTGTGTGTATGTATGTATAGATAGATAGATAGATAATTGCCAAAGCAGAAAATTAGTAGAAGGAAAAAAAATGAGCAAACTTGTCCTTCTTTAAAATTCATGACTTAGCTCTAGCAGTGTTTTTTCTTTAGGAGAGCACTAGTATGAGTCAGCGTACTGACTAATACATGAGTCAGTGTACCTATTATTGATGCTACAACACCCATCTAGGTGAGTTTAGCTGTTATGAGATGTACACTGTATTTGTTATGATGCTTCCGCCGCCGCCTCAGCCGCAGACCAGCTCAAGCGGGGATCATCATGTGGCGGCGAGGTGATGCAGAGTGACCAGGCACCATGAGTAATCACTGTAAATTCACCTGTTTTTTTTTCTTTCTCTGACGCACAGGGCTTTTCTTATTTATTGCACTCCGAGGCAGTGGCGCAGCAGAGATTTTGTGATTCACTCACAGCGCCCGTCTTATCGGGCCGCGGCACAAAGTGGGATTCATTTCACTTATCTAAGATGCACAGTCACTCTGTTTGGACTGCTGACTTTCTGGAGTCGGGGGGTATTTCTTGAAGCTGAATGCCAAAATGTGAGATCATTTTCTGCGATTATCGATGTGGTTCTTGTTGTCACAGTTTGTGAATGTTCTGGGGTTCATGCTCACTTTACTTCCCCTGGAAGTTAATCATCAGTGTCTCAAGAAAGTCAGAGAAGCAAGTTTCACAGGTCTGAGGCTATCTTGTATTATATCTGTAGATTTATTTCAGATTCTTAGTACACTTTCCTGCAGTAGGTTTTACACGTCATGTTAAATACTGTGCAAAAGTCTCAACCCGCCTATCGTTTCCTAAAATATTTTGTTTCCAAAGAGCCAGACCTTCTTGTCACTTTAAAAGTGGCTTTGAGCAATAGCTCTCCAAAGGTGTCTGAAGGTCTTTCAGAGTTTTCTTTGTCCATTGATTAGTTTTTCACTCATGTTCAGGAACTTTGCGCTTTTAGGGCTTTGGAAATTGGAGTAACGTTAGGTTGAGGGTCTGAGGACACCTGAGGAATGGAGAAGAAGTGTACTGGTGCGTGAGCATCATTCTTGTCTCAGGAACAAGAGTGATTTGAAAAGCTGTAGTGACTACAGAAGGTTTTGATGAGCTGTACCATGAAGACATGGGAAAGAGTTTTCCAGGTTAAGAAGAGAGGTGACGAGTTGCACTGTGTCTTTCTGGATCTGTAGTACTGTAGTGCAGGGCATTTTTGAGGACAGTGGTAAGGTGTGCAGTAGGAGTGATGGATGGATTCGAGTAGGGGGTGGGACTGTATCAGGGATCGGCTTTGTAAGAGAGTGCCAGGAGGGTGGTGACTGCTTGAAGGATAGCAGATTTACGAAGACGGTAGCGAGAGCTGCTATGATGCATGGTTTTGAGATGTTGGTCAGATTGAAAGACTGAGGTGGCAGAATTGAAGATGTTATGGTTTTAGTTAGGAGTGGGCATGACAGACAGGATGAGAAATGAGTACATCGGAGGGTCAGCTCAGGTCGAGCAAAGTTGCAGAGACAAGGATGAGATGGTTTGGAATGAGAGGAGAGATAGTGGATATGTTGGACAAAGGATGCTGAAGATGGAGATGCCAGGCAAAGGGAAGACCACAGAGAAAGTTAATGGATGTAGTGGGATGATCTGATATCATCGTGTTGGTGTTGTTCCCAGATCATCATGAAAATGTTGTTCCAGGTTCAACATTGCAAGTGACCAATCACATTATTGTGACGTTATTCTTTTGCGCACCAAGCTATTCGTACATTTATGAAATTCCAATGTTGCAAGGACAATATCAATTCTGCTTAGCGTTTATTAAAGGGTTAGGGTCCGCTGATCGGCGAACAGAGGCGGTTTCTCGCAGCTTAAGTACAGTTTTTTTGTTTTACGGTGGTTTTTCTCGAAGTTGCAAAAGTCTGACATCACAACATTCTGATTGGTCACTTGCAATGTTGATCCTGAAACACCATTTAGTATGATGATCTGGGAACAACACCAACACGACGATATCAGGTGCGATGTAGTGAGGGGGGATTGGCATGATACAGGAGGATATTGGGGATAAGGTGAGGCAGATATATCGCTATGGTGACCCCTAAAGGGAGCAGCTAAAAGAAGTGTCTCTAGGCACTTTATTACTAGCAACCTGTTACAAAAAATCATTGTTTTCTTGTCACTTCTTTAGTTGAATCTATGAAAAGTTTTGTACACTAGTACAGTAATAGAACATTAGTTCAGTTGATAAATCTACTGTTCACCGAAGCCTCATCAGAAAAAGTTTCGGTGAAAGGGAAGAAAACACTGAGGAACACTGCCTCAGTGTTACAGTGACAACAGGTCTTATGGAGTAAGACCTGTTGTCACTGCCAAATTGTCACCAGTATGTATGTAGGAGGTCCAGAGTGATGTAGAACAGTGTCTATGGCCATCTGTAAAGCACAGTGAAGGCTTGTGATAGTTTGGTACTGCAGTTCAGCCTGTAGTGTTGGGGTTTGTCAAAATTTATGGAATTCTAAACACAGAAAAATAATACCTGGAAAACACCTGATTGGCAGTGGCTTCATTTTTCAGCGTGACAATGCTGTCAAACACACTGCCAATGTGGTAGAAGACTAGAAAACCATAAAATGAACCACTATCAGTCATGGATTGGCCTCCCCAGAGCCCTGAAGTCAACATTATTGAATCAGCGTGTGATCGTCTTGATGGAGAACAGAACAAAAGTCAGACAACATCAAAAAGAACTTTGAATGTCCTTCAAGAAGCCTGCTCACGACTACTTAAAGAAATGCAAAAAGAGAGTTCCGACTGTGTTGAAGAATAAAGGTGATCCTGCCTCTGATAATACATAACACTTTAGGTCTTGATGCATGCTCAATCATCCAGGTAAGTAAATCTATATCTTTTTCAGCGGGAGAAACGTTTCGTCACTCATCCAAGTGACTTCTTCAGTCTCCGCTGACTAAGCCAGACATTAAGAAGTGTGCATAATCTCACACTCAACTTTTACCTGGTACCTGGTGAAAGGATCACCTGTTCCAAACACTTTTTGATTGGAGCAACATTTCAGTGTTTTGCACTTGTGATCTTTCAGATACAGGCCTTCTGATCACAGGACTCGCCCACTTACAGGGTATTGTTTATTCCTGATGCTGGCCTTCATTTTCGTGCAGTGTAGTGAATCCCTGGTCAGTCTCCACACACACACGCAAGAAAAAAAAGAACTAAAACGTGCATCAAGATGTGTTTATGTGTCTACTCATGCATGTGGACCAATCCTCTGTGGTTGGAGGGGCACCCTGCTCAATTTTCTCTCGACTTTGTGGTGTTTTTTTCTCCTGCCAGTAAACTCAGCTGTGAAACACATGGTCCGGCTGTAGCGGGGTGACTGCGAGGACGCTGACGGGGTTACAGAGAAAGCCTAGCATCAAGCAGAGCAGGAAAATACACTGACAGTAAGCTGATGGCACCAGGATCTTCTCAGAAATGCCTTTTCTTTTTCTTTTTTGTTTTAGCCTGCCAGGACACTGTGCCCTCTATTTCCTGGCATCTCTGATTCTCCTCCTCCTGCTCATTCATCAGCGGTTAGATCGCAGGGCTGCTGTTTCTAAAAGCTATCCTTAGACAACAATCTTCATTGTTCCATTGTAAGGCAGTGGGACAGCGATAATCACAGTCCTGAGGTACACTGAGGGAAACTGCATGCTTAACTAGAAGCCAGATGTAGCACCATGTGTTTTTGTTGTCTGTTAGTGGTCTGCGCCGCCTCTGATGTGAGGCACTCCTTAAACTTGGTTCCCTCTCTGATGCGGTTGGGTTTGCCTTCCTTTTACCCAGCTGGATGCTCAGCCGCCAACAATTAAGCCTGACAAAGTGGAAACTCTGCAGGGCTGACCCAAACTGGATGCAGGACTCCTCAAGGTGCCGCTTGGTTGGTCACTTTGAGGACCCTTCAAAAGATGTGCAATGAGCCTGAGTGAAAGAAACCAGCTCTCCTGCTTTAGTATGCTTCATAAAATGTAGGCTTTGGAGAGAAGTGAAAGCATCGGATAGATTTTTTTCT